GGGGGGGGGGGGGGGGGGGGAGAGTGTCACCACGTCTGGGGGCTGTGACAGCTTTGGCAGCTATAGTCTCTCCGACTCAGGGGACTGGTATGCGAGCTAAGCCACTTGTTGCTGTTATGCTTTTGATCTTTGGGCACTAGTTTTCGTATCGTACAGGAGAAAAAAAAACAAGTTATTTGTGATTCCGAAGGATATTGCGCTTTGCTCAGAGGTTTCTTCTTCGCCTTTGTCAGGCCGTGTTTTCGCAGGTCATTTGCGTGATAAGTTGATCTCTCTCTATCTCTCCCACGCCCTTGTATGAAGGTGTTGATTGAGGTTTTTGAGCTTTGTGGTGGAGACGTAGAAACTTTCAATCAACTCATGACGAGGAAGCCTGAATGGCAATCCCATCGTGCTTCAGCACTTTTTTTCCACATCAAGGCTTCGGAAAAATCAGCTGTGCGGGCCAAATCAGATCAGGTGGGCCGTCATGTTGCTCTCTTCTAGCCACACTGGCATCCCTCGTAGTAGTTTCCATTGCGATTCTCCAGTTAAGGCAGCAACTATTCTCTCTCTCTCCCATCTTGAATGGCCTTCGAAAATTATCACGATACGTGATCATCTTTAGCGCATTGGGATAAAAAGAAGCTATCACGTGTTACTCCGTAAAAGTTATCCTGAACGCCTCCCTCCCCCCCCCCCCCTTTTNCCTGAACGCCCCCCCCCCCCCCCCCCTCTTTTAGAAGTTGTTGGCCTGTGACTTTGCCCTCATCAATGGATAGCCTAATTTCATTGGTTAAGTGAATGAGTCCAATTTTGTGTGCAGAGTAAAGTGGGGACAAAGAATGGTGTTCGCGCCCTAGAGAAATTGCCTCCATTTTAATCAACGGAATCAGTATTTTTTGTATTAGAACATTTTTGGCGGAAACGTCTAAACGTTCCTGCTTTATACAGCTCTCCAATAGATATGATCCATGAGTCTCTCCATATTACTCCCTTTTTACGAGGTGGGTGTAGTGGAATGCGCTTAGTTGTTATTGTATGATTGGCCTCTAAATTATTTTCAAAAATGCAGAACTCAATGCGAACATTAATTTATATCAAATGACAGGCTTTATGATGGTTATCATTAGCCCTTCAGCTGACTTCGGGCCTCACAGAGAGGGGGGGCAACAAAGCAAAATAATTCGAGAAGGGGAACAGAAGAAAGTGATTCACAGATGTAAAAGAAACAGACAGACACAAAGGTAGAGAAAAAGGCAAGGTCAGTTCTGTGGAAGTGGTCGGATGTGACATACAGTCAGTCGGGTCGTGGTAGTTTGAAGTCAGAAGTCAACTGCCGATTAAGAGACTTTTCTGCCGTATGAGTACACGTTGCCCAGGGTGCACCACGTGGAGGTAAGTCTATCGCACACCCCTCAAAGCGAACGTTTAATTACCATAATGGTGGACCTTACTCCAGACTCCTTCAAGGCAATGACCCTACAATTTGTCACTTTTACCATCAATGTAAACCTTCATTCTTAATCGGCCTAAGTAATGCCACTGTTTTACTAAAGTTTTTTCAAATGGCAGGCTTTATGATATTTTTCATTAGCCCTTAAACTTTGACTTCAGCATCCCCCAGTTGTGGGGGGGGGTACATTTAGAGCAGTTAATTAATAGCCGTTCATTAGCTGTCTTCTTGCTTCTCAGTATCTCTGGGTTTCCGTCGTTGTCTTTAGGGTTGGACACCGAATCAGGTGGGTCTTCTCCATTTCCTCCTGTAGGCTGTTTTACTCACAATATCCCTACTGTATAAACGTGTTCCGTGCTATATGTCTGTTTCCTCAATAGTTGGGCGTCTAGTGAGATGTATGAGAATCTGCCAAGGAGATTTCTGAGTCAGTTAGGCTTTACTACTATATTATATCCCAATGATAAATAGCTAGAGTTTGAAATATATACTGTCATATTGGACGAAGAATGAAAATTCTTACTAAAGTGAGAGGATCTCAGATATAATTATTGACGAAGGCTGTAAATTTTAGGCACTGCACGCCCTACGCAATGGAGATTCCAAAGTGGAAGGCGATCTCCCTCCAAGTAGTGGTGGTAGCATTGCAGCTGACTCGGCTCCCCTCTCCTGGCGCTATGAATGTTCAAGTCTTGCGCAGTCGGAGGCTGCTCGGTTGAAGGAGACCATCAAGATGCTAGAGGCCTCTCTTGCGCAGACTACCTCACGTCTCAACGCCTTCACTGTGGACTTGGAGACAGCAAACTTTGCTTTGGTTGAGGAGAAGGAGAAGTGGGTACTACTTCTTAATTAGTATTTTTTGTTTCGTTGAAAAGAAGGAGTTGAAATGACTCGTTTACGGGTGCTACTTTTCATTACTGCTGTCCAGAAAAAGAACTCCCAAGTTGTAATCATAGACAGCAGGTATCTACTTAGAAATGGTCAGTCTCTTGGAGCAGAAATGATTAGTGAAATTAACTACCCTATTTAATTTCTGAATACAATGAATTGTTCGAATTCTCGTCAGACGTATGCTCCATCGTGTAATGTGCTAACACTTTCACTTAATTTCTTGTCAGTGCAATATGCAGAAACTGTTGACCGATGAGTTGAATTGAGCTTTTAATAGTTGCAAAAGCAGATGTGTGAGAATGGAACACTGCTGTGCTTTGGATGACCTCCCCACCCCCACCCCTTTCTCCTTCCACGTTGCACACTATATGCACTTGAACTCTTCTGGTTCGAGGCTAAATTCATACGAAAAGGTGCGTGTGTGTGTGTGTGTGTGTGTGTGTATGTTACCATAGAATTTCTGCCGTTGCCTAGGTACATGTAATGACATTCTTGTTAAGATTGATAAAACAAGTGGGGTTGTTTTTTTGTCGGAGGCATTAGTATTATGCCTTCTTTGTAAAAAATAATCGCTAGTGTTAAGCAAAAATGGGTTGCTTAGCTACCATAGGCGCGTGTTCCCCTATTTTTATCCCAGTTTCTTGTTCTATCCAAATCCACTTTTATCTTGAACATTCTGCTGTCGGCATTTGATGTTTGGTGTGCGCGCGTGTGTGCGTGTGTGCTCTCAAAAATCGATAATTTAGGTTGAATAATAAGTTACCTTTAATTATTGATAGGCAATAGAATGTCATTTATTAGGTCATTGGTCAACGAATCAACCAATCACATTTGACGGACAAAACGTCATTTACTTTGATTTAATTTGTTCCTTGATTTCTCTTCGTGTTGGGTTTTTAATCGCTTTCCATTATCAACTCCAATTATCTTTTACATGTTTTCCTCCATTGGAAGCTAGTTTCCAAATTTCGTATTATGTAGATAACTTGACACGTGTTTGAACGTTTAAACTTCTTTCCAGTTTATACTATATTATCTCCCAATTATTCCCGCCATCTATGTACTTTTTCTCTCATTGGTTTTTTCCCAATATATATATATATATATATATATATATATAGCCTTGTTTTCTTCTTTTTTATTCGTAGATGTTCAAGACTCTCTCAAAGCCTCCAAACCGAACGCAATCAATGGCTTGAAGAACGCGAGACATTGATTACCAAATGGCAAAATGAAGCCACTGATCGGGTAGCTGAACTCGAGGCCGCTTTGGTGCAGGAGCGAGGCAAACAGGCACAAATTCTCTCTGAACAGGCGGAAGAGTTCAAAATGGCTTATTGGTGAGTCATTTGTGTGCTTTAACCCTAATATTTGTCGAAGTGTTTAAATTATTATACCTGAAACGGTCGGAATTCTATTGATTATTCAATTTCTAGATATTGTAAAGTACTAACTACCTACTGTTAGAAATTCAGATCGGATATTTTCATCGCACCTCAACGAATTTCACTCTCTTTGTTCCTTGTATACTGATTTATTGATTATTGAAATTCCCCTGTATACCCAAACCTGCCACAGTTGCAAGTATTAGCTTCCAGACATCCCATCACTCCCTACACAATCAGACTTATATTAATATCAATTTTATGTGTTAAAGTAATCGTCGTTTGAGCTAAATGTCTTCTCCGCGCTGTGTTCGAATAATTTTGGCAATTTGCTTATCTCAATATCCTCTGACTGGTTAGGCTATGCTAGTGGCTACTAAACTTTTCATGTCATGATGCTGATGAGGCTAAGCGGGAGCGCCCCAAGCACTTTATTTTGCGTAGAGCACATTTCTGTGGTGGACTTGCAGGATTCGGTGATTCTTGAAGGTATGAGATTTGCTCTATCAAAACACTTTTAACTAAACACGGACGTTTATTTATTTCAAATAGCGGGCTTTATGACATTTATCACTAGCCCTTTAGCTGACTTCGGGGTTCACAGAGAGGAAGGAACATCAAAGTGAAAAAAATTCGAGAGGGGGAACAGAAGAGTGGGTCAAAGAGACAGACAGACACAAAGGCAGAGAAAAGGTAAGATTAGTACGGTGGAAGTGGTAGAATATGACATACAGCAATTTGAAGTCAGAAGTCAACTGCCGGTTTATAGACTTTTTGGACGTATGCGAATACGTTGCCCGGGATGCGCCACGTGGAGGTAAGTCTATCGCATCCCTAAACACGGAGGTAATTACATGTAGTCGCACTCGAATTAATGACTATCTTCATCTTAATATTGCATTATTAACTTTGGTCGCCTTTGTAATTAGCTGTTCAAGTATTTTGTGGTCAGTAGCTTAGACCACTTGAGTAATTCTTATTGCTGTTTACAAAATAGTAGCCATCAGAAGAAGAGTAGTTGGAACTAAGCTTCTTCTTCTTCGCCTTTTATATTTTCGAGCATTTTGAAATGTTGCCGTTGTTTCACAATTTAGTGCTAAAATAGTGGACCTACAGCTCCAACTGGAGTCTGCAGAAGCTAAAGTTGAGGCCCAACGCATGGAACTGTTGGAACAATCGAAAGTCACCGCGACCTCCATTCAATCGCCACCAAGTGGCTCGCGAACGGAAGCGCCATCTCCAAATCAACACCTCTGTGTTCGATGTGGTCGTTCTCTGAGCAACGCAAGCAACCCCACTATAGTGGGTCTCAACCACCCCGACTCTGCGCGAACGGTAAATTTCATTATTATTATTCCTCATTGGAAAAACTGGTAACTACGATGTAGGATCTCTGGAATGTGCCTAAGCATAAATGGGGAGTTTCTACTTACCAGCATGAAATAAGGCACCTGTAAGAGATTACAAACTCTTCATCAGTAGTGTCGCATCAAGGCAAAACCGTAGCTTGATCGAGCGTATTTAAAAGAGTGAATTCACTAATTGGTGGTGGTACAATTTCACCAAGTTGATTTGATTTTCATTTCCCCCCTTGACAGCACCGTCGAACACGAACACTTGAAGAGGCGCTCTTGGGAGCTTTTGATGACGAGGAGGCGGAATCACCAGCCATCCGGGAAGCCAAGAAGGAGATCGCCGACCTGAAAGAGACTATCAGTGGTCTGAACTCCCAACTGACAAATGAACGTCAAAGGTTGGAATACACCAAGAGCCTTCTAGTGGATAGTGAGGCTACTGTTGAACGTCTTAGTACTCAAGCAAATGTAAGCTCCCGAAAGCCTCCTATAGTAACAATAATCCCCACTTTCCTTCTAATTCCCTGGAGTTGTTTGTTAAGTTAGATGACTTTCTTACCTGGCCCGTCTTTTCCAGACATTCTCTCGTTCCTTTCTCTAGTAGGGGTTCTTTATTAGTCCGACGACTAGAGTTATTAAACAGGCCATAGGCAGGTGTTTTGATAGTTAGCATTAGCCCTTTATTTGACTTCAGGCTTCACAGAGCGGAAGGAACATCAAAGTGACAAAAAGTCGAGAGGGTGGGGATAGAAGAGTGTTTCAAAGATGTAAAAGAGTCAGACACAAAGATAGAAAAACAGTGAGGTAATTACTGTGGGAGTGTTGGAATATGACATACAGTGGAGCCATTGTAGTTTGAAGTGAGACGTCAACTGTCGGTTAAGACTTTTTTGCCGTATGAGTATACGTTGCCCAGGGTACACCACGTGGAGGTAAGTCTATCACACACCCACAGGCGACAAAGTTGTTAGTGCTTGAAAGCTCGTTAGTATCGATGAAATAATATGAATCTTATACACACTTCTACTTGTTTTATTGATCTCATATTATTAGATTACGGTGCTTACTGCTGACAGTTCCATTGTTCTGAATGCTCGCCCACACCCGCCTTAACAAATAGAATGTGTTGAACCTTGATTGTTATGTTAGGAATTATTGATTTGTGTAGTAACTGTATCATTGATATTATTTAAAATACTCCAAATATGTTTTTTAATGGGGGCGGTTTGAATCCCCGTAGTTATCATCTTGAAATGTTTGTTTCATTCTGAGCCTCCGTTTAATTATGGTGTATCCTGCCTTACATATAGGGCATTGAGTATACCCTAACGACTTCTAACGAAACTTGATCGAAGCAGTCCCCCCCCCCCCAGACACCATCCTCTTAATCTATCTCACTTGAATAGACGTACTCTAGTACCCACTAAGTACACTGGATCTAGGTAACTATTCCAGATCTCACATTTACTACCTTACTATTGGAAGCTTCCCAGAAGCAATGGAAAGCCCTGACACTGTGCTGCGACAGGTGGGTGAATATTTTTAGCTGGTTTCGTGTTCCACGATAGAATTCGAGTTACTTAAATATGTGTGCTATCAGGGATTTATTTCCTGTGTTTTGTTTCCCTTTGCAGATACTCAAATCCGAAATTCGTCGACACGAACGAAATGCAGACCGTGAACGTCATTTAGGCGCCGATTCCCTTTCCCCATCTTCTCCAATCAACACCCAATCAGATTACTCCGCCTCGGAGGGCGTCACACGAACCGAGTACCTCAAAAACGTCCTCCTTTCCTTCCTTTGTGGAGCTGCCTCTACAGGAGGCATCAACACGAGCAGTAGCAGTGCTGGTGGTGGAACTGGTAGCTCCTTGGAGAGACTCGCTTTAGTACCTGTTCTCGCAACACTGCTCGCTCTAGATCCCAATGAGCGGGTTGCTCTACAAAAGGTTGCCCAATCTGGCATGCTCCTTCATTCTGATGACGTTTCATCAGAAGTGAACCTGGATGCTGGAGGTGGTGGTGGTAGTGGATGGGGTGGGTATATTGGTCTCCCCTCTTGGCTTGGAGGGGGCTAGCGTCCCTTCTCATTTGATTGTAAAACTACACTTGTCTTTCTCTTTTGCACACCTGATTAAGTTATTTACATATCTCTCTCTCTCTCTCAAAGGCACTTATGTATTCTTTATTTTTTCTGTTAAAAGTAAATTTACCTTTTTTCCTAATAGAGGTACTTACTGTTATTCTTGGCGACTCATCTCAAAAGGTGATAGGAGGAGTTGGGGGGTGGATGGCAGGAAGCCTTCAAGGACGAAATTCGGCTTAAGATCATAGAGATGGGAAGCGGTGAAGCAAGGTGGACAAATGTCGACTGGAGGCTCCAGTATTTCCCATGTAACTAAGGTGGGGTGGGGGCGGAATGTGAATTGCATCTAACTCAAATCCCCCCTCTTTTCTATTCTAAATCCACCCATGGGAAGCTTTTTATTAAAGTATCATTAATATAACTATTGTTTGCTTTAATAAGGATAGTAAAAGTGACGCTAGGATTAAATTTCGTCAGCGAATTGCAAGAAAAAATGAGTTGGGAGGGTGGGGGTGGGTAAATAATCGGGTTATTTTCTTTTTCGACCGTGTTGCGCTTTGCGGAATCCCTGTCGCTAGCTTTCTATCCTCCGCCAATTCCAGAGCCCTTCGTAGTATCTAATCACCTCCTGGGGACATTTCTTATTGGCCACTTTGGCCGGCACTATCTCAGCCTCGCTGGTGCCTATCCTAAAAAGGACCAACACAAGGGATCATTGCTGTGTCTTGTCAATTGAAGTACTCTCTCTACATACATATATATTGGCTTTATATCATGGGGAGGGGGGGGGGGGGGTTGGGGGGGGGGGGGGGGGTTCA